GAAGATTCTGCTGGGAAATGCATTGTTCATGTTCATGTGGATGATATGATGGCGGCTAGTGACAATGTAGCATGTTCTGGTAGATTGATCACTTAATTTCATTGGATGCAGATGTATATTATAAATACATTTTTGGAATGTAGGTAACAAGGAATTGACATGATAGAACTATTAGTTTGTCTTGATCTCAATACTGTTGGAATGATAGATCAAAGAATACAACTTGTCCACTAGTAGGCCACTCAAAATCCCAGTCAGAAAATGTATATAAGCTGCTTCTTTTCACCTACTTGGACCAGCACAAGTGACCTCCTGTGGCAGTTGTGTTCACTGTAAGGTTTCCATGGACAAGCAATCCTCTGAAGATGTTGCTTGTGGCTTTAAAATCAAATGTGGCACTTGTTATGATGCTGCAGGCCCAGCCTGTATGAAAATAGTCACAGAGACCAAATATAAGTGTCCTGAGTGTACTGATATAACAACAGAAAGGATAGCTTGACCATTGGATGGACAACATCCTGTCCAAGATTGTCTTGACTGCCAGGAAAATGCAGGCGTGTTGTGGTAGATCCCTCCCACCCCTTTGGCAGGTCTATTATATGAGAGTCTCTGAATCCAATATGTTGTAGATTAGCTGTCTGTAATACACCAAGCTGAAAAGACATTTATTCCCTTCTGTGGTGCATCAAGTGTCCACCATCCTCACTTCTGAACCTCAACACCCAAGCCCAAATGTCATCTGAAGTACTTTTGTCAATCCAAGTCTGACTTCATGTCAAACCTACCCCAAACAAGGCAGTCACTATTCTTATCAGTGACTCATCTTAATACCCAGCCTTTTTATTCTTTTCCTTTCTTTCTACTGTTTTTCATTCTTGGTTTCTCTTGCCACAAAGGATGTGGCACTTGCACATGGGACAAATTCTTCTCTGTTTGATCATCACATAGACAAAGGGGGTCTTACAGGATTCAATGGATCATCATTCTGGTGTCTAAGGGTTTCTCTCCTGAACTCTGCCACTGTATGGTGTGGATACAGATTCCTTTGATCCTTCTGAAGCACCAATCACATGTCATCATAGCCCAAAATTAGTGTCTGTGTTTTGTTCCCTTTTATTTTCACTCTTTTTCATTTCACATCAAGTAGGGCCATAAACTGTCTGTGACAATGTTACTAAAAACCCAGTGAGAGAAAGCTATGCCCTTTCACTTTGTATGTTGTCAGTTTCTTCTTCACTGCATCAGCCAATTTATCATTAAATTCTTTTACCCAATTGCCACTATTTCTCAGATTGACTGAATGTCCCTGTGAGGTTTCACCTTCATTCCTCATCATGACAGCTGCCTCAGTGGGCAGTATTTGGGTTTCAATCTGAGGCTTTGCACAGCAAGTGAAGCCTTGGTGTTGCCAATTGGTTCAATACCTTCTGGCCACAACAAGCACAGCACAGTTGTGATTCTAATTAAGGAGAGCAAGAGGATTGTGAGCCTTTTATGTCCAATTGCCCTCTCAATTTTCTTACTTCTTGTATCATCTTCAAATGATTTATGCATTAGGTTATGTGGTAGGCACCTCATGAATCTTTTTGTTGATATTTTGTTTGGGATACTTGGTTGAAATTTAGTTCTCTTCTGTGTTAAAGATAAAAAGTTTATTGTTGTTTGATTGCGGAGTAACTGTTGATACAGGAAGAAGGTTTTTGAATATTGGTCTTCCCACATCTTTGTCCAACTTGACCAATCTAATTGCAAACTTAGACCAAGTAAAACCTCAATGAATTGACCTCGGATGTCCAACATGGATATATGAATGGAACCTCCAGCCTCTTGATAATTTTTCCCAATCTCTGCCTACTTGGCAACAATCCTTGCAGCAGCTTCATAGCTTGTGCCATCACCAGACATTTAAAAATTAAGACTAAATTAATGATAACAGTCTTTGATAATGAGATGGTTTTACAAGTGAGAGGGAATGAGGATATGGTAAATAGGAAGTAGTAAACTAGAAAACCGGTAATGATGTCAATCACATTGAAGGTGATATGACAAAAATCAAAACCCGGTCCAAAGGCACAAACATTTCCAAATTTACACAACCTATCATTCTCGTGACATTCCAATCAGTAAATAAGGAGGTACTACTGTTTCATTATATCTTGGACATTGAGAAAAAATAATAAATTTGAAATTTCAATTTTTCACTAGATTTAAACACAGCAACCACTTCATTGTCTGTTTTTCATTGGTGAATTTTGAGGTTTAATCTATTTAAAGGTAGTAAAAAACTTTGTTATTGTTTCTCAATGTCCAACATACACAGCTGTTTGCAGAAAAAATGCCATCATCCAGTTTTTTATTTTTTTAAGTTGCACTAAAAATTACCAACAGACATTCTACAATAAGAGCTGTAGTAGGCTGTACTCAACTTTTTCAAGGGTGTGAAGTTTGTGAAAGATCACAAGTAATGCTGCCTTTGTATCTGAAATGCACAAGCTTTTTCAACCTTTGGTGAGGAGACTCTGTACAATCTTTAACAATTAGCACATCATGACTTGTACAGCTGCTCTTGTGTAGAATCTGCATTGGTAATTTTTAGTGCAACTTAAAAAAATAAAAAAAAATAAAAAAACTGGACAATGGCATTTTTTCTGCAAACAGCTGTAATGAAATAGCTGTACCTACAACTAAAATTTTGAATTGACAAGAGACTTTGGAATGACTTTAATATCCTCTTTTCAATTCCAATCTGAATCTCAATTTCAATTCTGATTTTAATTTTAATTTTTTTCTTCTTATATCAATCTAGTATCTTGCTAAACAACCTTCAAAAAACCAAGCCCAACCAAAAAAAAAGCTCTCCAAAATGTATATATTCATTATATATATATATATCAAAATCACAATCAAAACCAAAACCAAAACCAAATTTTATATACCTTAAGAAGATGTTCATATATATATATAGGGAGATAGATATATAAAGCAAAAAAAACAACGAATCACAACAATCTAGCAAACCATCAAATAAAACATTTCATCACTCTTTTCACCTCTCTCCCTTGCAAAAAAACAATCAACAGATAAAAGAACACAAAGACACCAAGCAACCAAAGTGAAAAAGTAAAAATCAAAACCTAATGATAACTTAATACCCATACCCTTGCCCAGCACCCTGTTGAGAAGCCTGAGCATGATGAATGGTCAAAGTTTGGTTCTGTTGATTAACCGTTCCAGTCTGATGAACTCCTCCACCACCTCTCAAAACCTGTCCGATCCCTCCTCTAATCAATTCTCCAATATTCATCTCTCTACCATTCCCATTACCTACTCTAATCACACATTCATCATGATGAACTAATAAGATCGATCGAATCGATTCAATCTCTTCTCTCAATCTACCAATCGTCATCTCTAATCCTTCGTTCTCTCGTTCTAAACTTTCAACTTTCGATTGTAAATTCGCTAACCATGCTTTTTTCCTTTGTCTACATTTTAATGCAGCTAGAAAAAAACCCAAAATCAAAACCATCAATCAGTTCTTCTCTCATTTTGGTTCGGAGAAAAAAAACTTTTCTCATACCTTGTCGATTCCTCTCTAAAAAGTTTTTTCTCTTCTCTTCCTCAGTTTCTCCTTTACCACCACCTCCTCCTCCTCCTCCACCTCCTCCTTTCCCACTAGCACTACCTCTATCATTCATTGCACCATCTTCAGCACCCCAATCATTTCCATCTGAATCACTATCATTCCCATTCCCATTCATAGGTTCATCATAATTCGTATAAGATTCCAATGTATCCTTACGTGCTTTTTGTGATGCTTTATCAGGTTGATTGGTTTCCTCTTCTTCTTCTTTTTTCCTCTTTCCATTCTTCTTACTACTAGGAGGAGCTACATTGGTACGTCGATTGTTTTTCGGATTCAGTGTTGAAGGCGAGGTTTCGGTCGATGGTTTCATGGCTGTAGAACTTGAAGATGACGAATAGAGAGTACCACCTTTGATCATCATATTAGAAGTCCCGTTACTTGGCATCATTTGATAAGGTACACTTGGACCGGGAACAGAACTCGTTGGCATTCCATTTTTACTCTGTGGTTGTAAGTGAGAAAGCGAATGTGAGAGGGGATAGAGAGAATGTTGGGTCGATTGAGGTGATGTGTTGAGGTAGGCAGGATGAGGATGTGTGGATGATGAGGAGGCTGGGCCAGGGGAAGAGTAACGACTTCCGCTTCGACTGTTGACGAGTCCAGTGAGTGCATTGGCGGCAGTGACAGTAGCATCATCCATCAATTGTTCTTGCTGTTGATGATGAGCGATACGGTCATGAGCGGCTGTCAAGAGGTACAGAGGGTTGTTGGAGTAGTTATGATTGGCTTGAGCTGATAGAGGGGATTCGAGAGTTGAAATAGAATTGGGGGGAATTGAAGATGCAGAAGTTGGGGTAGGTTGAGTGTTGTTAGTTGAAGGTGCAAAGATTCCAACAGATGTAGCAAGATACGGAGGATAAACCAAAGGTGGCACATGAGCAGGTTGTGGCATGACAGGTGATTTGGAAGTCGAAGGTCGATGAGGAACAGAGGGATGATGAGGGTGATTGGTCGGTTGAAGGGGTAGTCTAGTTGAAGCTAAGGCAGGTGAAACAGATGCTCTCTTCATGTTTTGTAGAGGTCCATCAAACTCATTGAGTGTCTCATTGGTATTCGAGTTAAGAAGTGGAGTAGTACCGGAGGTAGTGATGAGACCAAGTTGAGGCAAGATGGGTGTGACAGCTTTAGAAAGATGATCATTGGATGTGATGAGAGGATTCGGAAGAATTGATTGAGACCGACGAGAGGTTGGAAGGACTGAATTGCGATCAGATGATTGTAGAGAGGTACTGAGAGAGAGTGATGGAGAAATAGCCGGAGGAGATGAATGAGGAGGTTGTAGAGAGGTAAGAGAGGATGAAGGTCGAGTTAAGCTCAAGTCTTCGACTATTGAAGATTTGGAAGGCTGAAGAGGTTGACTGGTAAGATTCAATGATGTAGAGATGGTTGTAGGTTGTGAATGACTAGGAAGGCTAGAGGATATTGCAGCGGGGGAAGTGTGCGAGTTATCAGAGGTGATGGTATTCGAGAGAGGTGCATCAGACGTAGATGAAGAGAAGATCGCCAGTAGAGCGGAAGTGCCAGGGGTGAATGCGTCATTAGTAGGTGTGCCGAGTCCGATGAGAGAATTAAGAGCAGTATGAGTAGGTAGACTATTTCGAGCAGGACCATTCAAAAGAGCTGGAGAGAGAGGACCGGTCCGTAGAGAATCTTGACCGAGTGATGAGAAGCCCCAACCAAAGGAAGAGATTGCAGTGATAGGAGGATTAGATTGATGAGATGAGGATGAAGCTGAAACCGAAGGAGGTGAAGTTGATTTCCTAGATTGATCAGAAGGCAGATTGTTGAGAATAGCAGGAGAAGCGATAGAAGCGATACCGGGTAATGAGACTTTGACTAGAGAACCACCAGGAGTGTTACGGAAGAGAGGAGGACTGAGATGACAATCGCGATTTGAAGAAGAATGATGAGGAGAAGAAGAACGAGCTCTACGATGACGATTGAGTTGATGATGATTAGCTTGAGTTGATGATGATGAATTATTAAGTAAATGATTAAAGGATGGTGAATTGAGATTGAGATGATGATTTGATGAAGAATTAGTATCAGTGGATGAGTTTCCTTTGAAAGATTGTTCGAATGGATTAGGTTCTAAATCGAATTTAGATTTAATTTGAGGTAAACTGGTACGGGTATTTGAGAGTGGAAGACCACCTGATCTGACGGTCATCTTGAAGTTGAAGTTGGTTGAAGATGATGATGATGTGAATTGAGAGTTGTCGTCGTACTCGTATCTGTATGCGGCGATTCAGAGGAGAGAGAAGAGAAAGTAGAGAATCAAACAGTTCCAATGGTCAATGATCAATTATCAAATCAAATTGTGAACAGAAAGATGACGATGAGGATGAAGAAGTTGATGAAATTGAAGAAGTCGAACTGAATTCTTGGTTTTCAAAATCAAAGAAAAAAAAAAAACCAAAAACTGTGCTTCGGAATGATGTCATCTTTGATAACCTCCACAGTTTTCTTAATGTACAACATACAAATCCACTTCATTCTCATCATAGTCTTCAACATCATCTCATCCCATTCGTGGGTTCGTTCGTAGTAAAGGAAAACCATCAAGACTTACCTAAATTATAATTCAAACTGTAACCGAAACCAAATGAATCAGTCGAGAAAGCAAAAAGATCAAGGTGTTGATGGGGGGACTTGAATGTTGTTGATGGATTTCTTGAGATGAGCCTGATGAATTCGAGTAAGGATGTAGGGTTTTGTTTGCTTAAGAATCGCCAATCGAATAGGTATTGCTTGATTTGAAGATGGATGATCGATAGTAATAAAATGTAAGTTAAAGTAAGAAACAGTTGGGTAAGTAGTTTTGAAAAATGAAAATCAAATTTAAATTGTAATAATTCATGAAACTTGATAAATAGTGATCCCCCTATTGATGGTGGATTTTAATTTGGATTTATTTTAAAAAACTTACAAATTTCAAAAACTATATCCCAATCGATCTTCAAATCTTTCTCTTCTTTTTATACTCTCGCAAAAAAAAACAGACTTACAATTCCAAATAGCAATTTCACTAGTTAGTAGTATCACATTGGCCAACTTGGTATTACTCTAGGGAACAGTTGACCGTATGTAGAGAAACACAAGTGAAAAGTTCAATCGAATTCAATAATTAAAGCACTTCTTTTTGAAAAATAACTGGTTGTTAACACTCAGCTCAATTCATCAATCACACTTTCTTTCACAAAAAAAAATTATCATATAGGGTATGTACTCCAAGTGAGTATGTACGTTTCATACTTAGTTTTTTGGTTTGCTTTCTTTGGCGGGGAAAACAAAGTATGTTCGGGTCCAGAACTATGTAAGTCTGTTTGAAGACCCCATGCTGCATGCATACTTTTCCCGTCCTTGCCATCTATTTTATTTCCATCATGCCTCGTACTGACCGAAAGCAAAAAGTTTCCGTGTAGCAAAAAATAGTACATTGCCGGCCGCGCATAGACTTGAAAAAAAGCCAAACAACTATGTTACATACTCACTTTGAGTATGTACCCTATTCATTTATGTAAAAAAAAAATCCCAATTTGATATTCTTTGAAACTTCAATCAACTCACATTTAAAAAAAGGTTCCTTACATAATACATGTTTGAAGAGCACCAAGGAAAACTCCCATTCCTAACTTAACTAAGTTGATCAACTATTGCACCTTGGGACTTACACCTAATGTCAGCTTCCCTGTTGGGGAGGACATTGGGCTTTTGGTGGAGGGTTCTTGTGCCCTTATGAATTTTTTTTGTCATACAACAAGATTTCTTGAAACCAAAGTATGACAAAGTTCAGTATTATGGGGTTTGTTGCATGCAGGGTCCTGGGTATCTGACCAAATGAATGATTAACTCAACTTCATTAGATTGACATCCTTGATCACAAACACCATGAACCTATGGAAGCACTTGGAAAATCTGCAGCTCAAATGGTGAAGTCAAGGTGCTCCAAGTGTTACAATTTATAACCTTCAATGATCTTGGATAGTATAGATATTCAATCACATATACATACAATGCTTGAATTGAAAAAAAATACAAAGATATCTCATGGATCTTTTGGCTATTTATTTTCTACCTCAACATCTAACCAAGGATCTATCAAGTGTTAAGAATCTAGTCAACTGTATCAAATCCAGTCAAAAGGAGCCCTTTGATATGAAATTGATCATTCCAATTCAATAAGATATTGAACATAAACACTGGACTCTGCTTCAAAAGTCTCAGCTAGGCAATGCATTCATTACAAATGTGATCAATCAAAACACATTGGCAAAAAAGACCTATCTAAAAATCTCAAGTAGATCACCTCCACCAGTTGAGCCTATCAAAATGCATGAACCAAAGATTCTCATGCTCAAGATGATAAGCACTTCTGATACCTCACCCACTAGAGTTACTGAAATGCTTGATCAGTGTGAAACATAAATGGGAATAGACATTAGAAAATTCAATGAGTGTTGTACAATTTATTGAAGGTAACATGAGATTTTGATTAAACTTTGAATCATTCTTTCAACAAGATTTCTATGACTGATGTCACATCTAGAGTAGAGCTTGAAAAATGTCATTAGGCTTCCTGGTTTAGTTCACATAATGTGGACATGGAATGTGGGTAGTAAAGTCATTAGTTGTCACTGGGAAGATTTGAAGGAACAGGCCTTCATTAAACTGATAGTGCACTTTCTATGGGTTCCACCAAACTTCAATCACAAAAGGATTTTGCTTTGTTGATGCAGCTGATCCACAAACCACACACAGCCACAATTTTATTCCTTTTGAAGTTTGTTTCTATTTTCTTCTTTGTCCCAAACAATTAAATTAAAGTTGTTTATCTGTACAATGTTTTTGATTCTACAAGCAGACCATGGAAGTGTGGCCCAGACCACTAGTATTAGAAGAACCTGGTGTGCCTCAAGATATCAGTCATCAATTCTACAACACATATTATGCTTTTGATGCTTTGAAGGAAAGTAAGAATACCAAAGACTGGACCATGATATACAACATGCAGCTTTTTCTTTGAAACTTTGGCTCAATTCTTGAATTCAATAATGCTATGCAAGACAGGAATATCGGGTGTGTTATGAGGTCCGAGGATGTGGAAGGAGTGGTCAATGATGGTGCAAAGAATCTTTGGTCTTTCTCATGATGAAATCCATCTACCAAGATTGATCACGATTCTTGGAAAAAACTTACCACTAAACCTGTCCAAAGTAATCAAACACTCTTTGCTATTCCCAAGTGCTAGATCATGAGCTGGACATTAGTTTTCTAACAACTTTCATCTTGTGATTCATTTTTTTGGCTTAAATACTTTTACAACAACTCAGTGAGTTTTTGTGTTTAGTTTTTTTTATTTCAAATTGATTGACCAGATTGATAACATCATTTCTTTCAAAGTTCAAAGGCATAAAGATCAAATAATTGATGAAATGGTTTTTGATCCTCATTCCATTTGTATGTACAAACATGCTCATTATAAAGCACAAGTTGATAAGTATTGACATTACTTTGCTCCAGCTTTGTCAACTGATACAACAGTCTACATATGAAAGAGCACTCAGGTCTTGAGAACATATATCAGAACAGTCTATATACAATATGACTCAAATCTTTAAATATGTTTCACAAAATGGCACAAGTCCAAATGTGTGACACAACCATCTTGAATAACTGTATTTACACTGAAGTGTCTCATTTTTCTTTTGTTTTTTTTTCAGCAATCTTCTCTTGGTGTAAGATGCTTGTGGTTTGTCTCTGATCTTCTTGTGCATGTTCTTGTGCTTCTTTCAATCTAATCTCTTTCATATTTACCTCTCCTAGGAACCGTTCATACAAAATCTCCTGATTCAACTTGTTTGTCTTTGAGCTTTTGTTGATATTCAGAACAAATTTCAGAGTTATACCAATCTAAAATAAGATATTGAATCATTTTGAACAGTTCTGGAAAGACTTATCCACCCAGATTTGACCAATTATAACAGCAGATACATTCTTGACAATAGCTCATGCTTCTTGGTGTGTGAACAGATTGGAAGTATCCATCTCACAATCTGGTGGAAAGAAAAGATTAGTTCTTTGTGACCAACAAGAGCCTCAAGCATGATCATGTGTGGACTGGTTCAAAATGGGTCATTCTGCTTGCATACTTGTGGTATGTTTGCAGAAAACTTGTGCTGACTCAAGGGTTTAGGTAGTCAAACACACTGACATCCTCAATCTCAGTCTGGTATGAATCTAAAATTTCATCAAAACTGGCCAGTGTGGTTTTGGAAAGAATGTGCATGAGTCTTGCTGCACCTTGTAGGTCACAGTACAAGCATCAGCAAAGGGGCATCTTCAAGAATTTTTCTCTCTCTCACTCTTCCAGGTATCCTGAACCAGATATACTGACAAGAACATATCCATTTCTGTTTGAAATCCAGAATCAGTGTACTATACTGTTTATTGAATAAAAGGGGTTTTCTGGATTTTAATGCCTTAAGGTCTGATGCTCAGTTGAATTCTTGAAAAAGAACAGTGACCATCAAAAAAGCTTCAGAATAGATAGTTGAGAAAACAGCAGGAACAATTCAAAAAGAACGGTAACAGTTCAAAAAGAACAGCAACAATTCAATAAGGATGTAAGAGTTACCAACCCAATAGAATGATCATTGTCAACTCACAATCATCCAGCTTCTGCTACTCAACATGCTTGCTGAGCTTTCATTCTGGAGAGAAAAGACCATTGTGCTGTGGAGTTGAAAGGTCTAGGTTTTATGGTTGGGTATAAAAGAGTACTAGAAGGAGTTGGTGAAAGTGGTATAACAGAGACTCTTAGAAATACTTTGCCATGGTTTTCTTCCCAGTTTCCACCCATACTATTGTTTTGACAAACTACTAACAATTGGGCTCAGGGCTGGCTGAGCCTGTGATCAGGTTTAGCACATGGTAGACTCTATCTACTACTGTACCGATTGAACTCCCAAACTTAGCAAGTCTCATGAATTATAAATTTCTCAATCCCATAAAAAAACTTGGATTAAGCTTGATTACATCAACATTTGTCATCTTTTTGTTTGTGATTGCAGTGTTCACAGCTTCAGCTCTTTAAACTTGAGAGTCTTGAATCACATCAACATCTTATATTACAATCCTCACAACTCATCATCCAAAGAAATAAAAAAGCTTCAAATGAAAGAAACATTATATCCCAGAAAAGATTCTTGAATTCTTTTTCATCATACCATACCTAGAAAACCTAATCCAAAGACAAATTTAAAGAAACAAATTCATAATTCACATCAAAGAAGGTATTCTGAACTTCCAAATCACCCACCCATGACACAGAAACACAAACACAAACCAAACCAATTAAAATTCCATTACGTATATATCTATATAATCACTCAAGAAAAATCTTCTAATCAAGTAAACCAAAACCCTTAAAATGAAAGAATTTCAAGATATAATGAAACCAAATCAAGCAACAGAAAAAAAATGCAAAAAAAAAAAGTCTCTTGTCTTAATTTTTTTTGGAAATCATATCTACAAAAAATTCATTTCTAGAAGAAACCAAGCATATAAAACTTCATTTTTGATGTTCTCCAATGTTCGATTTCTCTTCTAAATCTTTTAATTCTTGTCTTTTTAATTTCTTCTTAAGTTTATTTCGTTGTTTTTTGATTTGTTGTTTGGTAAGTGTTATAGGATTTGATGGATTTGTTTTTTGGATATCTGATTCCGGTGTAGAAGGTATTGATGTTAAATGATTTGTTTTTGAAATTAATGAGATCTATCAAAGTCAAAGAAAAAGAGAAAAAACGAAGTTTATGTTTTTTTGGATCACAAATTGATCAGTATGTATTAAGATCAAACAATCTGATAAATCTTCAAAGTAAGAAACTTTACCTCTTTTTGTGGTTTGGTGACTAGATTCGAAATCATAGGATTAAGTGTATTTGTTTCACCATTCTTTGGTTGGTTGTTCGTATTTGATGATATTGATTGTGATGAACTTTCAGTAAGAGATGGGGTTCGTTCAGTATCAGGAGTAGTACGCATAGAAGTAGATACTTCAGTTTGTAAACAAGATGAGACCTATCAAACCCAAACCCACCCCCAAAAAAGAAGGAAAACATCAATACCAAAACATTCACCAAAGAAAAAAAAAACATAAAAGTAACAATCACCTCATCATTTTCGTCTGTTCTTGGGTTTGTTGGATTAATTTCAGAAAGTTTTTCAAGTTTCCTACGTTTCTTTAATTGTTTTTTAGAAAGTTTTAAAGGATTCTCTTCTAGATCAGATAAAGTTATCGATTTAATTTTAGATCTAGGTAAGAACCGATCTACAACCAAATCTTTAGAACCAAATGAAATCTTCGTTCTACTATCTTGATCTTGATCCTCTTCCTCTTCTTCTTTTTTTAATTCTTCTGAAACCGAATTGCTATCTTCACCAAATCTGTTGGATGATTTTCGTTTTAACAATTGGTTTCGTAGTTGATTAGAACTTGTGATTTCAGATAGTTTTGGTTTAGCTCCTAAACCTAATCTAAACTAACCAGAAAAAAGATAAATTACATTCGAAACAAACCATTCCATAAATCGTCGTATGAGGAAGCCAAAAAATAACTAACCTAGGTTGTAATGCAGGTTTAAGTGGTTCAAATGATCTTGAAGATAATGGAGCAGTAGTAGTACGTAGGTTGGGTGGGATCCATGAATCTACTAATCGATATAAATTTCCAAGTGATGTATCTAATTTCGCTTGGAAATCTGCTACATCGAATTTCTCTTCTTCTGATTCTTTTCTTTGGACTTCTTTTGATTTAGATTGTTGTCTTGGATTAAGTTGAATAGGTTCTTCCATCTTTTGTAAATTGTTTGAGCTCGGTTTTGGTTGTTTTCGTACTCTTCCTTTGGATTCGTTTTGGTAAATGATAAAGTTCAGGTCGGTTGATTTGAGTGGTTCGAATTGAGTTGAGTGTTGAAAAATGGTCGGGGTTCCAAAAAAATGTGGTGAACTGTTCAAACATTTAAACTGTAAAATGAGGTCCGCAGCAGATACCTTCCTAAACCCATACCCATGAACTTGGCTCCAAACAGTTTCAAACCATTTTGTGAGTTGTGACAGACGACCAGCGAATTTTGGGCAAACCTCTTCAGATCTGCAGGTTATTCAATAAAAGATGCCAAAACCATCAACATCAAAACGAGTGACTCTAAATGAAGAACACGATACTGAAAGTAATCATGAAAGTGAAACAGATTCATCAATACTCGAACATGAATCAGAAGATAAATTTGAAGAAGATCGAAAGATGTCAAGATATATTGCTGAAAGTGAACTAGAAGATGGTACTTTTTCTAATGAGGATGATGATAGTGTCAGTATGTGATCTTTAAAGTATTACTTATACATTGCTAATTGCCATAATGTATGATTTGTTTTTGTTTGAATTTACTTGTTCCTTTAAAGCAATCAGATCATCCAGGTATGTTCTTTTGTTGATCACTGTATCTCTTTCTTCATGAACCTCTTACTGATATCAAACTTTTCAATTCCTAAATCTTTAGCTCCAGTAGCTCATCTATCAATCGGAGCTCTTCTCAAATCCCAAAAACAAGCCAAGAAATCAACCAAACCTGAAACAAAACCATCAAAGCCAGCAAAACTAATCAAAAAAGTTGAACAATCTTCTGAATCTGAATCCGAATCTGAACCTGAACCCGAACCTGAATCAAATCCATCATCTTCATATCCTAGAATACAACAACGAACCAATAAACATGCACCCATGGTAATGTCAAGTAAAAGATCTGTAACGAGAAGAAGAACAGTAGTCTCAGTACCGAAGCTAGAAAGACGAGATCCAAGATTCGATTCATTATCTGGAGCCATCGATCCAAGCTTACATTCAAGATCCTATGGATTTTTAAAAACCGAAAGAAAATTAGAATTAGAAACGTTGAGAAAAACCTATCAAAAAGCTAAATCTAAACCTGGTACGATCTCAGAAATCGAATTAAAACGAACGGAAGAATCTTTAAGAAGAGCCGAAAATTTTGAAATTCAAAATGATAAGATCGAAAGAGAAAGAGAAGCATTAAAGAAATGGAAAACTGAAGAAAAAGCTAAACAACAGGATGGAAAGAATCCATTTTATCTTAAGAAAAGTAAGTTTTTCAATTTGATGTCACGATTTGGTTTGAGTTTTAAGAGTTTTTTTTAACTAAAGCTTTGGTATCTTATTGTGACGTTTTGTTAGAGGAACAGAAGGAAGTTATTCTGGCTGATCGATTTGATCACTTATCTCAAGATAAACGCAAGTTACAAAATGCTGTCGAACGTAAGAGAAAGAAAGTCGCTGGTAAAGAGAAGAAATCGATGCCTGCTAAAAGAGCTCGGTCTTGATGGAAAGAACGTGGGATTGAAAGAAGGATTTCTTGGGATTGTTTCAATCTCTTTGGGTTTTGCTTTTTTTCCATTGCTACCTTCTCGGTGGATTCAGATTTCTCCGATCACACGTTATGTTACACTCAACCTCACGACTCACTCGTCATAATATCATCCCACCCTATCTCTTGAAATTTTCCTCTCTCTATCTTTCATTTCCAGGGTCTATATGATTTCTCTGTTCATCACACAGAATCATACAAGTGCTACTGATAGTGCAAGATCGGTGCAACCCTCCAAGACATCAATGTATTATATCATACTGTGCAGTAAAATCACATTTTCTTTTGATACCTTTGCATATGCTTGGATCATAGAATACAAACCATGCGATTTTGATCCCTTGTTTACTCAATCCAATTCTAAAAAGCGTGATGGTATGGACGGGATCATCAAATTGAGACTGTTGGAATACTCGAGTCACATGATCCTACGTCATTTACCTCAACTCACAAGCCTGCTAAACTATCCTTTCAAAACATCTCTTGATAAATCTTTGTTGTACCAAAGTCAGTTGAATGAAGTCTTTGATAGTGATTTACACGTGATGTTGAACCAATCAATCAAAGCTCAGATATGACATCACACTCGACTTCAAAGCACCTTTTTCAACCACAATCCTAACCTGCTGATCAGATGAGGCAGAACTTCATCACTCACGCTGTGTTTGTTCTCTCCCCATTGATTGTCAGTCAAACGAATCTCGTGATTTTTCTCATCCAGTGTCTGATAGGCACGTTCTGAAAAAATGTATAACGCGTCTTAAGAAGTGGTAAGCCTGTTTTCAGTCAGCCTTCAGAACGATCTCTGGTTCTTTCATATTGATGTCTTTGAATCTTGAGTCAGGAACAAACAGTCATATAATTGAGTACTTTAGCATGGACACCTTTCCTAGTGAGATGTCTCTCAGACATATAAATACTTATACAAAAAAGGAATGATTTGACATTCGTCCACTAATAAAACATATGACTGTATGTACATCCAATTATCAGAAATGAAGCACAGGAATTAGTCCAAAAGCTTAACATCTATTATCAACTTTGCCAAAAGGTAGCATGCCTTTTTCTGCTTCGATTTGACGTCCATTGTGAATCTTGATTTGATTGTTCAAAGAGTAATCTGATTATTTCCATCAGATATATACATAGGTATTCTATGATAAAGCCTATGATAGATCTAATCTGAATTCAATCTTTGCATTTAGCCTTCGAAAGAAAAAAGACCTTGTCTATCCCAATGAGCTGTGCGCTAAGTTTTCACGCATGAGAATGGGCCAAAAATGGGGATTTGTGAGCTATAGTCCTGCTTTAGAAATCATTCATCTTTATGTTATTGTCCTTCACTTTTCCAAGATGCTCTGTTTGAATTTACAATGTCTGAGCTTGTAATTCACAAACAGCCTGCTTGTTATTTTTGACAAATGTTCAACTGGGCAAGTAAGGATCTCTAATACAGTCTTGAAGGACAAGACAAGGTGGTCCGAGTCGTTTGTAGAGTTTGGAAGGAAATCTAGTTGGACTCATAAACACCTTTTTGGCTTGGTGTGACTTTGTACCAGAACACATAAACATGTGCTTCTTTGCTAGTAAATACTACACCAAGATACCAAGACACACTGAAAACTCATGATGACAATATTACAAGCCGCAGCAAACCTACCATAAAACAAAAACTTAAGAGCACCCAATTTTTCAGGCGGAAAGAATCCTAAAACTGTCCAACCGGCTGAGGTAATAGTCCATAGCTTCCTCTCGAAAATCATCTTTCACCATTCCAATTGATCCAGTATCTTGAAATTCCAAGATTCGAGCTCCATTTGAGTAAGGTTCCCACAACGGTAGCCCGGGAAAATTTGGGTCGAGTGTGTTGGTGAACGCGATCCAACGAGCTTGGAAATCATCTGACCTCCTCCCTGGTATGATACCAAAGACAGCGAGGAGATCAAAAGTATGAGCGGTACCTAATCTCTCAAAGTCAACACGTAGCCTCATAACAGGTCATTTTTGTAATTCGATAACATACCTACAACGGGGGTGAATTTCATTGCACGGTCAATGTACCCATAGGAAGGCATAACTGATTGAGTGGTACGAAGCGTGAGCCGACGAAAAGCCTATGATTTCTGTATTCATCAGCTTCCAATTTGTTGTAGAAAACTTTAGAAAAACCGAACCTGAAATGTAAAATCGCCAAAGAGCGCAGCATATTGTTTGTACCCAGGGGTGATAGCATTTAAAATACCTGTGTTGAATGGTGAGCCTTGGGTGATGTCTTGTGGATAAAGCTGGAGAATCTCAGTCGTTTCGGTTTCACTGGCCTTGGGACACAGATACTGAAAGTCTGTTACATAAAGTCCAGTTAACTAATTGTAAACTACAGTGATAGGAAAATGTGAAAGAGGATCGAAAGGGTCAGAAAATTGTACATACATTGTCTTACATCGTCCTCGGTAATCAGCCGGCTTAGCTGCCCCAGAATCAACAGGGTTCCTTCGTCATCCTGATTACCAGAGATAAGTGGAACCTTTGCGTCTAGGGAATATCGAACAAGATCTTAATTGTCTCATACGTTGTGAATGTGAAAAGCGGAAGCGCACATTTTCCTTCAGATAAAAGCTGGTCGATATTTGCAGTCACAAATTCTTCTGAAAACGATCATAGTTTTAATCAATACAAGGATAGATAGGGTAGGGGAAGCGGATGAGGGTTGAACGAAATGAAGGCTAAAAGGTGGTCTTACCATCGATGAAGGGTGAGAAAGGCGAAGGAAATGATCCAGACGAGAATAATCCTGGGATCCGGTTCACAGCTGCACTGTTGTTCAGAGTTTGATTAGCTATGTTTTAGGGAATTATTCGACAACAGGTATTGCTTACAATAAATGTTCATATTCTACTGCACGTAAGCAGTCTAGGGAATTTGATGAAGATGCACATCCGGTATAATTGACTATTTTGTCATAAATTGGTTGACCCGCGCCAGAAGATAAAGCTTTCAAGAAAAAGAATTCGATGAGTAAGAGAACACTGTAGTCTTTTGAAGTTTCGATGGCTTACTTTCTACCGGGAAGGCTGAACCGGATTCACAGATCGCAGCGCGAAAAAGACCCTCGTTATCACCATTGTTGATGAGAAGGTGGTACGAGACCGCGATCGCTCCGGCTTAACTTGCATAACACAAATTCAGGGTTGTAGTCTCTGAGAAAAGAGTCCTTCATCTCTACTCACACGATTCACCAAATATGGTGACTTTGGATGGATCGCCTCCGAATTCAGAAATGTATTTCTGGAGGACAGAAGGATAGATTCAGAGTGAGTTCACAACGAATATGAAGCTATCAGGAAATGTATGTAATGGGACTCACTTGAACCCACTTCGTGGCCAAGCGCTGATCTTTGAGGCCGAGGTTTCCAACGCCAGCTTCCCCGTGTAAATGTCACGTGTGGATCAGCTTCAAAGCTGTATGTATAGGGTATAAATATCTTACTTTTCTCTAATTGCCGTTCCTCTTCATCCTGACTCTCTACCACCACGACTCTCAACCACCACACCAACCACCACACCAACATATCATTTCATAAAAACCTTTACTATTTCCTGAATTCTTCCCACTTCTCTTCCATTTCTCTTTCATCATGAATCTCCCCAAGTTAACTTTTAAAAAGATCTTCGGTCCTCGTTTTCAAAAAACCCTCTTTTTTTACTTCCCGTTGAACTTCTTCTTTGTTATCTTTTTGATTTTTGGCGCTCACAAGATGTCTCGTTTCAAAGTTCCAGAGTTGTTCATCCTTAAACTCATCGCTAAAAAGTTGTACATCATTCTTCCTTGGGCTTATTTCCATTCTCATGTTCTTTACTCTCGCTACGACACTCTTCCAAAGAAGCGTTCGACTATTCCTGAGAAAGATATCGAACTCGGTCCAGTAGCTCCTCTTCCGAAACCTCCCGATGCTCCAACCCCTCTTCCAGCCGAATTCGTTGAAATTGATCTAGGTATGTTATCTTTCCTACATTTCTTCTTTCTCATGATTTTATAAACCAGTCTAACAAACTCTTCAATTGCTTCTAGGTGAAGGTCCCTCAAACTGCGGTCTTCCCGATCCTCCTCGACCTTTTTTAACGTGTGAAGTTTGAAGAGCTCAACTTGATTTCATCTCGGTATGTTATCTCTGCCTTCATTTGTCATCTTTTATCTTTTCTGAGCGCGAATCCATTATGTATCTTGATTTATCTAATCATTTTGACTCTTTCCAATTCTCTTGTGACTTGGCAGGCGACATGTTCCTTGATCGATTTCCTTATCTCAAAGTCTTTTTTTGTGACCATTCCATTCTCTCATTTGAAATGTGTTCTTGTTGGTTTTGTTTTGCGATGATGAGTAGGAGTTCACTTTTTGAATATTCGTATCGAGTCGTTGCCGATATTTGAATCAATTAGTACTTTAAATACCCTCACTCTGAGCTCCTTTTACTTCTCTCTGTCAATCTAATTTGTAATCAAAATATATCTATCAACATCTCTTTTCAAATGCTTTGAAGTGACCGAATGAATAGGGATTTCAAAGATACCAAATTACAAGCTTGCTTTCTTCATCATAAGGTTGTTATTGTGAGAATTGGCTTTTACAACCTTTGACATCTTCAGAGAGTTTTTGTGTTTCTCTACTGTCACCGAGAAAGATAACGAGCTTGGTCCAGTAGCTCCTCCTCCGACCCCTCCCAATGCTATACACCCACTCCTCCAAAACAAAATCTAGAGGCACGCTTCAACCTGAACTTCTGAAGTCAACCTTGGTATGTAGTTTCTTTTGATTTCAAGCTTGTTTCCTTTTGCTCGGACTCTGATGTTTGCTTTCTCCACACTTTTCAGCTCGATTTTCATCAAACTACGGTCTTCCTAGTTCTCCTCGACCTCTTCCTCTAAAGAATTATTCTTCAAAATATTTATAATGCTATTGTTCATCTATTAGATTAACTTTGATTTCGATTGGTGTAGAAGTGCAGTTTAGGTTATAAATTCAGAACCATGGATATCTGAACCGTTTGATCTCAATCATCTCGATAATGCTTATTAGTACCTTTCGCTGTGACTTGAGAAATAGATAAGAGATGTGTTTCATTCACAACAAATCATATTGGATGTGTACTCATATTTAACAAGAGGCATTGGGATCTCAACCCCGCATATCTTCATTTAGGGTGTCCAGCTATTGCAGGTCAGGCTCAGCTCGGCTATACGCTCTGAGCTCTCAGTGAGACGCGTTCGCGAAATGTATGTTTTAGATGATGCATTTCATTAGGCTGATCCATACTCCGAGATAACTTGTACATTTTTGAACATTGTATTTTATTCAGTAATGGTCCTACATCTAATTATGTACAAACGTATTACTGATAAGGATGCTTTAAATCCGTTCAAGCAACTTCGATTTGATTATGATTCCATCCAGTAGATTCGTACCTAAAGTACAAAGTATCATCTAGACTGCAGAAAGACTCTTCAAATTCTTTTTCGTGCCTTCGTAGTACATCCTTTCTTCCTTTGACATTGAAGTTGAGATTGTAGATAGGAATTAATCATATGTTCAGTCATTTGTACTTTGGAATTCCAAAATCGAATTCGTGCACTGGAAGGATGACACAGCACAAAGAACCTGAATCTAATTTGAGGACTTGCGTAATTCGATGATTTCCTCTTGTACATGGAATCATCGATACGCCAGATAAGTTTCGAAAATCCCTCCTCGTGCCTGCGTCACAATCTTTTGTTCCGTTGTCGACAAAGTTGAGAGTTTGGATAAAAACCATAATAGGATCAGTCATCATTGGATTCAAATTCCATAACCGAATTGACGCATGTTGCTCAGCAAAAACAAGTTTTACGCTGCGAGTTGAGGAAACGCTCCCAACTCTTCAAGCTTCAATTGACATTTGAGATGTTCAGGCGATCGAATGAAATATTGCTGATATAGGTGTTGAAACCGCCTGCTAAATGAGCCAGATGAGAAGAATGAAAGAAAACTTTTAATTGATCGAGAACCAAAGTTGAGAAGCTCGCCTCAGCCTTCGGGTAGCCATAGGTGAGATGTGTAAGGTACATATGGGTTTAAACAACTCTTTGCATCAAATCAAACACCCCACCCGAGTCTTTCCTTTCTAGACACACCACACCCCATCATCCACCAAGTTGACCTCCACTCTCACACTCGCCAACCTCAACATCGCCGACCCCACAACATCCTCACAATCCGGCTCTCAAGTTAATTCGGTCCAATTAATAATAGACCTAAAATAAAAGAAACATATTCATCTTCTTGGACAAAATGGCTGCTTCGCGACCTTCAACCAGTGAAAACATTCTATCCGAACAGGTGAAGCAAACTGATGAGATAGACTTTAAATGCATGAATAATTTCAATTCAACTTACGTATGAAATGATACTCTGTTTGTAGACGGATGTGTGTGTTGCCAATGCAATCGTCAAAACCGGTATTGGTTTCGGTGCTGGAGTGGTATTAAGTGCAATTCTATTCCAACGTAAATGTATTGTATCATACTGTGCAGTAACATCACATTTTCTTTTAATATCTTTGCATATGCTTGCATCATAGAACAGACACCATGCGATCCAATCTGATCGCTTGTTTACACAATCCAATTCTAAAAAGCGTGATGGTAGGGATAGAATCATCAACTTGAGACTGTTGGAATGCTCGAGTCACATGATCCTACCTCATTTACCTCAACTCACAAGCCTGCTGAACTATCCTTTCAAAAGACTTCTTGATAAATACCTGTTGTTCCAAAGTCACTTGAATGAAGTCTTTGATAGTGATTTACACGTGATTTTGGACCAATCAATCAAGGCTTAGATAGCCATCTTGAATCACTTCATACGAAGTTTCCGAGTCAGTTTTGCTTCATTCGAGCTCATTTAGTGACTATGACATCACACTCGACTTCAAAGCACCTTGTTCAACCACAATCCTGACCTGATGATCAAATCAACAAAAAGATCATCACTCACGCTGTGTTTGTTCTCTCCACCTTGATTGTCAGTCAAACGAATCTCGTGATTTTTCTCATCCAGTGTCTGATAGGCACGTTCTGAAAAAGTTTTGTTTACAGGCATCACGAGTTTATAAGAATCGAATGTAGAACGCGTCTTAAGAAGTGGTAAGCCTGTTTTCAGTCAGCCTCTATGAACGATCCCTGGTTAAATCATATTGATGTCTTTGAATCTTGAGCCAGGAACAAACAGTCATATGATTGGTAAGTCGACCGGATTTTGAATCTTGGCTGACAATGACTTGGATCTTGATGGCCCAAGTTATTTAAGCCACTTCATTGATGGATTGTAAATTGATGATCGAATGATATCAAAGCCAGAGAGAATTGCTTAGACAGAAGTGAGTTTGACTCTGGACTATAAGATCATGATTTCAGTTTTGATTTCCTTGTTGACCGAATTTCTTATCCCCCAGTGCCTTATATAAAGACTCTCACTACTTGAGCTTAGAACCTCGCCTGTGTGCTCAGATATTTTCGTCGAGTCTCAGGATTCCTATCGTGATTGCCTAAAGAACTTCACCACCAGATCTTGTCCTACTACAGCTTGATTCATTCAGATGAGAACCCTTTCCTTATCAGAATCATGGGAGAAGAGAAAAACCCATCGAGTCAAACTTCCCCGTATAGGCTCTAGATATCGTTTCTTATATGACGATGACCCAGCGCGAGAGATAAATGAAGAGATTGCAAAACGTGGTGGAAATATCTTAGGTGTAGCAGAGAACTCTTACTTTGTACAAGTAAGCACGTCACAATCCATCGTATCAGTTTTACTTACAAGCCTTCCTCACTAAAAACATTTTCGATCGTGGTTTTGGTTGATGTGTCTTAGATTTATGACGACTTGACTCATTTGCAGCAATCGATTTTGAAGCAACATGCTAAAGATGTTGCGACATCTGCCAAAGAGCGCGATACATGGTCGGCCAGGATTAAATCTAATCCAACTAATTTACTCTTTGTCTCTACCATCAGATTACTGTTTCGTAACTTCATCTTACTGTGTGGACAACCTCTATCGTTCATCACTCGACCTTTTGATACGTTATACGAGGTGTTATTTTTTGGAACTGTGTATACTGCCTTATTCTTCTCGAACTGGCTTTTCCTCCTTTGTCAGTGATAGTATCTTCTTTTCCGAACTCTTTGTTGCATGCATTAAAGCTCATGGAGACTCTATGGTTCTTTCACTTGTTCTTGGAAAATATCTAATATTGACCTGTCTACACGAAAGTCAAAATCTTTCGTGTAAGGAAATGGGTCTCAAACATAGGCCACGAACACGGTGATGGTTTGTCTGTGATAAACTGGGCTAACATCAGTAAGTCCCTTCTGATCTGTCCTCTCAATTTACAGTCTTTGGATAACTGATTAGTTGACCTTGACACATTAGACATCTTTACCCGGAAGCGAGACGTGTTTTCAAACGCACGGGCAACGTTTGCGGGAAATTTTAAATCATACGTAGAAGATCGCCCTGGACTTGATCAATATTTGGAAGAATCTGACAAACCTCTCAAGTTCGATATTGATGTTGCCAGAGCTATCTTACTCATGTGTGCTGTTGTTTATGAGCGCAATACCGCCTTTGTTCAAAAAGCAGCCGAAGCCAGTTTATCTCACAACATCCCTAATGAAGAGTTGGTCTTCTTACTCAAAAGTGAGGAGCCTATGCTTCGAATCGCAGATGAGTGGGGACTAGATTTTATTGCAATAGCAGGTATGCTCATTCGCTCCGTGCTTCAATCCTCCCAGGCCTCTTTTTTCTACTCTATCACGTATTTCATTCCGTTTTCCAACTTGATGCATCTAACACACATTCTTGGAGCGTGGTCAGACTTCCGCTCGCTGTCAGGACCCTTCATCGGGGCTTTCTATCAAATCGACCCAAATGTTCTCTCCCATGACCAGCAACCATACATTGTGTTGGTCGTGAAGGGTACTAGTCTAGATGCGTTTGGCGAATGGGTGATGGATGCCACTGCTAGCTTTGAGTCATGCTCCGACTTTCTTGGTGCCGGTATGGCTCATGAGGGATTCTACGACGCCTTATTTCCAGCGAAAAACTCTGGACAAAAGGTTCTTCCATATTGTAAGATCTCAACTTTTGAAGACTAGGCATTGCGCAAACCGTATCAACTCATTTACATATCCAAATTCTTAATTTTGGGAAGTTCGAATACTGCAGCTAATCGAAGAGATCGCAGGGGTCGCATGGCGGGATAATGCCAAAAAGACTAATCTTTTCATCGGAGGACATTCGTAAATTGCGCATCCCACTCCTAGTTTTATCCGGTGACTCACTTCTTGTATCCTCCTTTCCCTTTCTTTAAACGCAGATTGGGAGCAGGAATCGCCTCTTTGTTATATGCCAGGATGCTCGAGTCTCCGGAGGACCTGGGTGACAAAATAGTGCTCAGAGATGCCTACACTTTTGGCACACCTCGAGTGTGTGATGCGAAATTGGCGTCAAGGTTTGATTATAATTTGAACAGGCCGGTCAATCGGGGTCGTCAATTATGGCGTGTTGCCAATCGTTCTCGTTCTAGTTGGGTTGGAGACATTGTGACTCGTGAGTAATACGTATCTTTCTATGACCTGGATTCCGTTCCGCGAATTGCTTATCCTTTCCATCGAATCTTCCAGATGTCCCACCCGGCTATGCCGATAATCGAGAGCTCCGTGGGGCTCTGCAAGACGCGAGTTATTTCTCATACGCAGCGATTGGTATTAGAGTTGATCTCAAGGCAAGTCATCAAAATTGACCAATTCAACCTGCCCCTCAACATGAAAGTTCCTTTGGGACCTGCGTACTTCCCCCCACACGTCACGTGGACTGAGACTGATGAATACCGACTTGGAAGAATATCATCAGCCCAACGGCAGAAAACCCTTTCACTCAATAGACGATACTCCAGTCGGGTTCGAATCCATTGCGTGCAAATCAGAAGATGAAGCAGCATACCAGTTCTCACGATTCAAAGAAGAATCGCAGTATAACTTCCCTCGAGACCTTGTCCAACTCAGCATGGAGATTGTTGGAACTTTTTTGCCTTTTGTACATGATCACTGTCAGTCTTCGCTTTCTTCGTCCCGGACACTGTGTCGTATGTGTGCTCGGAATCTCTAAACCAACCTTCTTGTTGGTTCATGATTTGGCAGTCCCTGCGAGCTACTTGGAGGCGTTGGACAGGATGCATGGAACCATCACCATTGGCGAAAAAAAGCGAGCAGCTCGGGAACAAAGAGATCAAGAAACTCAAAACAGAAGATCGAAATCTGAAGCCGACATCAAAGTACTTTAGCATGGACACCTTTCCTAGTGAGATGTCTCTCAGACATATAAATACTTATACAAAAAAGGAATGATTTGACATTCGTCCACTAATAAAACATATGACTGTATGTACATCCAATTATCAGAAATGAAGCACAGGAATTAGTCCAAAAGCTTAACATCTATTATCAACTTTGCCAAAAGGTAGCATGCCTTTTTCTGCTTCGATTTGACGTCCATTGTGAATCTTGATTTGATTGTTCAAAGAGTAATCTGATTATTTCCATCAGATATATACATAGGTATTCTATGATAAAGCCTATGATAGATCTAATCTGAATTCAATCTTTGCATTTAGCCTTCGAAAGAAAAAAGACCTTGTCTATCCCAATGAGCTGTGCGCTAAGTTTTCACGCATGAGAATGGGCCAAAGATGGGGATTTGTGAGCTATAGTCCTGCTTTAGAAATCATTCATCTTTATGTTATTGTCCTTCACTTTTCCAAGATGCTCTGTTTGAATTTACAATGTCTGAGCTTGTAATTCACAAACAGCCTGCTTGTTATTTTTGACAAATGTTCAACTGGGCAAGTAAGGATCTCTAATACAGTCTTGAAGGACAAGAAAAGGTGGTCCGAGTCGTTTGTAGAGTTTGGAAGGAAATCTAGTTGGACTCATAAACACCTTTTTGGCTTGGTGTGACTTTGTGCCAAAACACATCTCAAGCGTGAAAAAGTATATCAGGCGACCAACTTACATCAGCTGAATTCGCGTCAAGATGTTTACAGATTTGATTCTTCAAACATGTGTTTCTTTGCTAGTATATAGATACCAAGACACACACTGAAAACTCATGATGACGATATAACAA